TAACAACAACAACATGGTGTGTGGATCACAACAAACTGTGGCTGACACTGAGAAGAATGGGAATCCCAGAACATTTTGTTGTGCTTATATGAAACCTTTACTTGGACCAGGAGGCAGTCATCAGAACAGAGCAAGGAAACACTGCATGGTTCAAAATTGGGAAGGGTGTACACCAGGGATGTGTCCTATCTCCATACCTTTGCAATCTATATGCAGAATGGATTATCCAAGGAGGCTCAGTTCTATGAGGAGAAATGTGGCATCAGGATTGAAATAAGACTCATCAACAATCTGTGTGATGCTGATGACACAACCCTGCTTGCTGAAACTGAGGAGGACCTCAACCACTTGCTGCAGAAGATCAATAACTGTGGCATTCATATGAATTGAAGCTCAATATCAAGAAAACAAAGATTCTCACCACTGGGCCTATTGGCAGCATTGTGATGGGTGGTGAAGAGATTAAGATTGTTAACAGCTTTGGTTTGGTTGACTCCACAATCAACCTCTTAGCACCAGCAGCCAAGAAAGTACAAGACATATTGCGTTGGGGGAGTCTGCTGTCAGAAATCTCTCCACAGCTCTGAAGAGCAAGGACATCAGTGTGGAGACTAAGGTGCGCCGGGTTCAAGTCATGGTCTTTGCAATCACTTGCTATGTGTCAGAGAGCTCGACAATGACTAGGGAGGATAAAAGGAGAATTGATGCCTTTGAGCTATGGTGCTGGGGAAGAGTATTGAATATATCATGGACTGCTAAGAAAACGACAGGTTCCTCCTGGAGAGGATGAAACCAGGCTGCTCCTTGAAGACAAGGATTCTGAAGCTTCGTCTGACATACTTTGGACATGTTGCAAGGAGGAACCAGTCCTTAGAGAGGAATATCATGCTTGGGAGAGTGGAGGGAGAACAGGAGAGGAAAACCCTCTATGAAGTGGATTGACTCAGTGACTGGGGTAATGGGGGTAGATGTGTCAGATACAATGAGATTGACATAGGGTTCAGGGCTGTTGTACATAGGGTCGCTATGAGTGCAGGCGACTCAATGGCATATAATAGCAACAACACCACTATCTATCAAACTAGTAATCTTGATCTCTTTTTTATGATTTTGAGTTTTGCTCAACAGTTTCCCTTACTCAGGGCCATTTCTGTTGACTCTTTCCAAGCAGTGCTCCATGGTATCTGGACACAATCTAATTCTTCTGGTCTAGTGACACTCAAATATACGTGCTTTGAGTCCATTAGCTGCTCCTCAGGAGAAAGATGGGCAGTCTTTTGTGTGACTTACTGCTTGTAGAACCTACTAGAGGGTAAGCTATGAGTAAGTTCTGATTGAAAGGTACATAACAGCAATGGAGTAGTGAAGACTGAAGTTCATATGATCCTTTAATTCTTTACACTAATAGTTTGATTTTCATCACTCTTCTGTAAACTGGAAGTTCACCTTACATGGATATTTATAAGCTTTAAAAAAAAAAAAACTTTTAAATTGTGATTTGAGTGGAAATACACTAAGCATATTAGGGGTTCCCCCAATCAATCATTCATGCTTTTCTTTGTCTGTAATATTACAGTACTTACAACTAACTGCGTAAATAAACAGGGAAACTTATTTCCTTAAAATTTAATTTCTACTACATCATTAAACAAAGGAAACAGGTACAATTATACATCCTCAAACTTTATTTGACAATAGTCTGAAAGAGATTAGGAAAGCCAGATATTGATCATATAATTTTCTCTATCTCTTGACTTTATGGATTTAATTTTGTTGCTTCGTTCTTTACATTTTTAACAAATGCCTATTCCAGTTACAGGTTACCTAGTCTCTTTTTAATACAAAAATAGCAAAAGTATTCATAACCTGAGGGGGAAAAACAAAGGCAAGAGCCATGTCATTTAGGAAAGCAGATTATAGTGGTAAACGACCCCCACCTGAAAGGATCAACATGGGGGGAAAAAAGACACAGCTAAATCTCCAAGTTCCCCAAATGGAGCAAAACCATAGAAGTCTTATGCCACAGTGTTCCCTTCAGTCCCATGCAGCCTTCCCCTCTGGGGAGGCCCTCTTCCCCAACAAAGTGAAGGGGCTGCCTTGGTGCGCAGTGGTGCTGGTGGGTCTGGCCCTGGAGCGTGCACTGGCCCTGGCAGGCTTACCAGCCTGCTGTGGAACTGTGCCTCTAGCTCTGTCTTCCTCATCTCTCAGAGCCTCTTCATACCAGGATGATAAAGCACTGGGCGCAGTGTTATTGATCTTGGCAAAATACTCCAGGACCTTCATCTTGGTGGTCTCCGCATAGGCCCTGGGACCCCAGAGGAACTCACAGTGTGCTGGCTCAGTGTTGGGCACCCGCCTGTACTCCAGGTACTTGAGCTTCACAAAGTCTTGGGTGATGAGTTTGCGGGGCTCCCCATAGATGAAGTGCCTCTGCCCCGCATAAATGCGCATCTTATTCAGGAATTTCCAGATGATCTCCTCTCTGGCACAGTTGCCATTCATGAAAATCACACCCAGGAGAGTCATCAGGAGACCCGTTTTGGGAAAGCCCCTTCCATCACTCAGCATGCCATTGTTGGGGAGGTCCATTTTGCTGACCAGGGCATAGCACTGCTTCTTGGAGTCAAGCTCCTTCAAGTCAATGCCAAAGACCACCTCGATGCTGAAGGTGGCTCTCTTGAGGATCTCGAGGAAGTGGTGCTCAAAGTTTTTGCTGACTATCTTCAGCATGTCTTCCTTATTCACGGGCTTGTGCGTTCTGTATAGTCCCATCAGGAACTGCACCAAGGAATGCACCTGCTTGGACAGCTCAGAAGGTTCGTCCTGGGAGAAATGCTGCCCACTTCCATCTCTGCTGCTGACTCCTTCACCAGCGCTTGTGCCTGAAGTTCCTGGAGAAGGACTAGGGGCTGGCGAGGCTCTCAGAAGCCCCTGGAGACTGCTGTGTGACCCGGCGTCAGGTCTTCCCTGGCTACCAAAGCCAGAAGCAGGAGTGGAAGAGGAGGGCAACTCCTTGTCTGCAGGGGCTGCCTTGGCCTGGCCACCTCTGGGGAGCTGGGTCTCACTCTGGGCCCGCTGGTCTTGCTTACACACCCGGGTAGCTCTCCTCAAAGGGCGAGGCATGATGACTCTGCAGGCTGGAGTGTGGGCAGGTCAGGACAGATGGAAGACCCTGGAGAAAAGAGGAGAGACAGTGTTAGCCCCCTAGTTAGAGATACACCACTTAGGTTTGAATAACCTGGGGCCATTGGGGTGTCAAATGCCCATCACGGTGACCCATGGTGGACAGCGTTTGCTGGAGCTCCCAGTGTCAGACAGGTTTGGAAGCAGGAGTGGCATCTGCTTTCTAAACCACAGGCCTCTGGAAATGCTATGACCTTTGACATATGTCAATAGTTAGAGAAAGGCCTCAGGCCTTTTGTTTCATAGGGTGACAATGGGTCTTGCTCAGCTCAAAGGCAATCAACAACAACAACTGCAGGTTTCCCTAAGACTCTGATGTAGAAACCTGCAGGGCGCCTGGATGCCAACAGGTCACTGTCATGGGAAGAATGGACCCTGAAGACATTTGCTACAATGCTCTTCAGCGTGAACTGAACGGATCACAGGACTGAGTCCAAGCACCCGAGTCTGGCTCTTTCCCACTCTCAGCTCCAGTAAGCCCCAGGCAGGGCTGGAGGAGTGCAGCCTAGCGTGTCCTCTCATCATTCTACAGAGTTCTCAGGGGACATGCTCATTGCCCAAATCCATTGCCATCAAATGGCTCCCAAGTCAGAAGTCAAGCTAGAACTCTGTGTAGAACCCCTCCCCACCGGGGGTGGAATCCTGTGGGACTCTGGTAAGAAACTGGGCTGCAATCCCCACATCCTGAGGTGGGAATCCACCAGCAGCTCCATTGGGCAATCTTCTCCCCTTGGATTTACTGCCTCT